TTCAAAACATGGTGGTCGACCATGTGGGTCGGGAATTCTGGGTCTGATTTACAAATGGAAACTCAATGGGTCATCCTAAACGTCCCTGAGATAAACTCCTATGTCGTTATCATTCCCATTATCGAAGGCAGTTTCAGATCTGCCCTTCATCCTGGAACTGATGGACAAGTCTTGATTTGCGCTGAAAGTGGCTCAACTCATGTGAAAGCATCGAGCTTTGATGCCATAGCCTACGTTCATGTGTCTGACAATCCCTATAATTTAATGAAAGAGGCTTATGCTGCTATTAGAGTCCATTTAAATACGTTTAGACTCTTGGAAGAGAAGCCTGTCACACATCTAGTGGACAAATTCGGTTGGTGCACTTGGGATGCTTTTTACTTAACGGTTGACCCAGCTGGGATTTGGAGTGGTCTAAATGAGTTTGTGGAAGGCGGCATCTCGCCGAGATTTCTCATCATTGACGATGGGTGGCAGAGCATCAACATGGATGGCGATGACCCGACTCGAGATACGAAAAATCTTGTTTGGGGTGGAACTCAAATGACTTCAAGGCTTTATAGCTTTGAAGAAGGTGAAAAATTTAGAAAGTATAAAAGTGGGTGTTTGTTGGAACCGAATGCTCCATCGTTTGATCCAATGAAGCCGAAGTTGTTGATGAACAAGGCAATTGAGATTGATGAGGTTGGAAAAGACAGAGACAAGGCCATTAGATCTGGAATCACTGATTTGTCTCAATTTGAGACCAAAATTCAAAAGCTAAAGGAAGAATTGAATGAGATTTTCGAGAGATATGAGGAACAAAGTAGTGCTACAAGCAAGGATGATGATGAGTTTGGACTAAAGGCTTTCACAAGGGACTTGAGGACAAGATTCAAAGGTTTGGATGATGTGTTTGTTTGGCATGCTCTAGCTGGTGCTTGGGGTGGTGTAAGGCCTGGCTCTACACATTTGAAGTCTAAGCTAACTCCTTGCAAGCTTTCTCCTGGCCTCGATGGCTCGATGGAGGATCTTGCTGTCGTGAAGATCATCGAAGGTAGCATCGGACTCGTTCATCCTGACCAAGCTGACGATTTCTTTGATTCCATGCATTCCTATCTTTCTAAAGTTGGGGTTACAGGTGTGAAAGTTGATGTGATGCATGTAAGTATCTCTAAAACTTTAATTTTTTTGACTTAGGGTTGCGAGTAACTAATGTGTCAACTCTTTTAGACTCTAGAGTATGTCTCGGAGGAATATGGAGGGAGAGTTGATCTTGCAAAGGCCTATTATAACGGTCTCTCCCGTTCCCTTCTCAAGAACTTCAAAGGGACTGGGCTCTTCTCTAGTATGCAACAATGCAATGATTTTTTTTATCTCGGTACAAAGCAAATCTCCATAGGAAGAGTTGGTAAGAATTTCAAAATTTTACATTGATTGATTATTCGATCATTTGAATGTCATAGAAGACGGAACTTTTTCGTTAACAATTCATTACAACAAATGATTGTGGAATAGGTGATGATGTTTGGGTTCAAGATCCACAAGGTGATCCCATGGGTGCGTATTGGTTGCAAGGAGTTCATATGATCCACTGTGCATACAACAGCATGTGGATGGGGCAGATGATACAGCCTGATTGGGACATGTTCCAATCAAACCATTTATGTGCCAGTTTTCATGCAGCATCAAGAGCCATTTGTGGGGGTCCCGTTTATGTGAGTGACTCAGTGGGCGGCCATAATTTTGATCTCATAAAGCAGCTCGTCTATCCTGATGGAACTATTCCACAGTGCCAATATTTTGCCCTCCCGACTAGAGACTGCCTTTTCAAGAATCCTTTATTTGACAACAAAACTATTCTCAAGATATGGAATCTTAACAAGGTAGTTTCTAGCTCCATCTTTTACTAATTAAAACACCTAAGCATTTATATCTTTTTCAAACACCGACGTTTATTTTATCTTCTTCGTTGGAATCTAATTACAGTACGGAGGTGTAATTGGAGCTTTCAACTGTCAAGGAGCAGGATGGGATCCTAAAGAGCAGAGAATCAGGGGACGTCCAGAATGTTACAAGCCAATGTCCACAACAGTACATGTCAAGGATGTGGAATGGGACCAAAAACCAGAAGCAGCCCCAATGGGGAATTTCGTCGAATATGTTGTGTACTTGAACCAAGCCGAGCAAATTGTCCACATGACTTCAAAATCTGAACCACTAGAACTAACCCTTCAACCATCTACATTCGAGCTCTTCAATTTCATACCCATCAAAAAGCTAAGCTCCAACATCAAATTCGCTCCCATTGGCCTGGCGAACATGTTCAACAATTCTGGAACTATTCAACATCTGAAATATAACGAAAAGGGAGTGGAACTAAAAGTGAAAGGAGTAGGAAATTTCTTGGCTTACTCAAGTGGGTCGCCGAAGAAGTGCCTTTCAAACGGAATGGACGTAAAATTTGAATGGAATTTGGATGGAAAGCTGAGTTTTGAGCTTCCATGGATCGAAGAAGAGGGTGGAGTTTCAAATTTGGACATCTTCTTTTGAGAAATTTTACTACCTAAGTTTAAAATATGTATGCATTTTGTTGTGTCGTGTTAAATGTCGTGTGTGGTAAGGGATAGCCATTTCAATTAAATAAGGCTTTTTGTCTAAATGTTTAAGGGTATCAATGTTATTTTTGAAATGTGGTACTAACAGTTCCGTTCATACAGTAACAGTAAGAGTATTTTTTAACATTTTTAAAAAGTTCAAGGGTATTTTGAGGTTTTAAATAAAATTTAAAGATATTTTTAAGTTTTTTTAGACGATTTTAACTATATTAGTGAAACTTTTGGAAGCTAAAATATTTTTAAATGTTAAAACTATTTTTTTTAAATCTTTTTCAAAGTTTAAGGGTATTTTTAAAACAAAATATTATCGGTTCCATCCAAACTACCAGTAAATATATTTTAAAAAATATATATTTAAGCATGTTGAAAGTTTAATGATATTTTTATTAATTTAGTCTATTGTATTAATATTTCAAATATTTGAGGGGAAGTCGCAAAATAAAAAATTACGAAGACTAAAACGGACAAAAGTGGTGCACCCAAAAATTCTTCGATTGCAAGAAAGGATGTCACGAGAACAACGCCAGGTGTAAAGAAGAAAACTTGTAGGATCTAGAGCTAATTTGACCTATTGTGAAAATACTATTCCAACAATAGTACTTTAATTGAACAAAAAAAGAACGTGAATATATAAAGTCGATGCAAATATACCTATCGAATATCTCAAATTTGAACGATAAGAAAGGTATAAAGGTATAAATTTCAATTCTTTTAAATTTTTCTTAGTCATCTTATCTTCGAGATCACTTTCATTCAGATATGATCTCAGTTCATTCATATATAACTCTCGTCTAACTGTCACAACTTTTCTTTTCAAAGTTTAAATATATTTTTTAAACAAAAACTGTTTCATCTCAATTTGAATGGTATTTAATTAATTTTTTTTTTTTAAGGTTTAAGAATATTATTAAAATATTCTTGGTAAAAAAAAAAAAAAAAAAAAAAAAAAGAAATGATTAAATTTTTTTAGAATTTATTCCATAAAAAGAAGAATGTTTTTTTTTGTTGGCATTTTATGAATAAATATAGCCACGTATTTAAATCTTTGGATTTAAATTTTATCTCTTCCTGTAGAACAAATTCTTAGGTTTGAAAGCTATTCAATTTTTCACCCATTCTCAATATTTCTATTAAAAAAAAAATCATACATTTAATATATTATTTGAATATGATATATTAAAATAATAAAATGATAATTTTAAATAACGTGAAATTATTTTAATTTTAGTCCACTCACTTGTTCACACTAAAAAAATAAAAAATAAAAGTTACGAGATATATATTATGTTGGCGACGATAATATTGGCCACAATATATAACGGGCCAAAACAAATAATATCTAATAATAGTGGATTTGAGCTGTTACAAATGATACCAGAGCAAGACACTAGATGATATGCTAGAGAGGACGTTGGGCCCCAAATGGGGTGGATTGTGATATTCCACCTTGGTTAGAGAAGGGAACGAAAAACGTTACTTATAAAGATATGGAAACAGGTAAACACTGTTAGCGATGAGATTAAACTGGAACGAAACATTTAAGACCTAGGTGATAATAAAAAAATAAAAGTTTCAATAAAATGATAGCACCCGATAATAAAAATTAAAAGTTAAAAAAAAGATTTATCTTAATAATATTTATTTCAAAATTCAAATGTAATATTTGAAATAATAAAATAATAAGTTTGAAAAAATAAACTTATTAAGGTTGAACAACGTTAATTTATTTGAGGTTTAGTCTACTCACTTGTTCACACAACAATAAATAAATAAATAAAATAAAAAATAACAATAAAAAAAATAAATGGTTTCAAACATTTATTTTATAAAGGATTAAACTGAAATACTTTTTTAAATAAAAAAATTATAACAATTAAAATTTAAAAATTGAGATTGCAGTTATTTTTTAAAAAATTATAAAATTAAAAATTGATATAGCTTATAATTTTTTTTTGCACAATATTTAGATTAAATATAGCATTTAATATTTAAAATAATAAAATAATAAATTTGACCTTATTTTAGTTTAATTTCCTTACGTGTTCACACAAAAAAAAATTATCCATTTCCTTGAAAAACGCGTTTATAAAAAAAGACGATTATTTTTGTTTGTGGAAAAGTAATAATATTAATAATATAATATTGCTATTTCATTATTATAATAATACATACGAGATTTAAGTCAGATTTGTAAATATAGGTGTTTATTTAACTCGTGCAATCTAGATGGGTAACAGAACAAAAATTCTTCGCCTCAATTAGACTTTGTCTAAATCTCCATCCCGTCTTACGTTCATACATATATTCAATATATGCATATGTACGTACGTAAGTGTTCATGTAATATTAAATTTTGAATTTTTAAAAATTAGGTTAAATATTTAATTGTGTTTGGATAAGATATATTAAATTATAAATATATTTGGATAATTTATTTTATTCCCTTTGCAACCCAACAAAATGGGAAGGGAAAAGAGTTGAAAATACAAACAATGCATAAAAATAAACTTAGATGGTCAAATTTCTCAAAAGAGAATATCCAAATTAGAAACTCCACCAACTTCTTCCATCCAAGGAAGATCAAGACTCAGCTTTCCTTTGGAATCCCATTCAAATTCGACTTCCATTCCATTCGAAATGCACTTTTTCGGCGACCCACTCGAGTAAGCTAAGAAATTTCCTCCTCCTTTCACTTTCAGTTCCACTCCGTTTTTGTTGTATTTCAAATGTTGAATCGTTCCAGAACTGTTGAACATGTTTGTCAGGCCTATAGGAGCGAATTTGATGTTGGAATCTAGCTTTTTGATGGGTGTGAAATTGAAGAGCTCGAATGTAGATGGTTGAAGGGTCAGTTCTAGCGGTTTAGATTTCGGGGTAGTGTGGAGAATTTCCTCAGCTTGGTTTAGATACACAATGTATTCAACGGAATTTCCCATTGGGGCTGTTTCTGGTTTTTGGTCCCATTCCACATCGTTTACATGTACTGTTGTGGATATTGGCTTGTAGCATTCTGGATGTCCCTTGATTCTTTTCTCTTTACGGTCCCAACCTGCTCCTTGGCAATTGAAAGCTCCAATAATACCTCCATACTGTAATAAATGTCAATTTCGAAAAGGTTATAAACGCTTAGGTGTTTAAATTAGTAAAAGATGGAGCTAGAAAGTACCTTGTTAAGGTTCCATATCTTGAGAACAGTTTTGTTGTCAAATAAAGGATTCTTGAAGAGGCAATCTCGAGTGGGGAGGGCAAAATGTTGGCATCTGGGAATTGTTCCATCAGGATATGCAAGTTTCTTTATGAGATCAAAGTCGTGGCCACCCACTGAATCACTCACATACACAGGTCCCCCACAGATGGCTCTTGATCCTGCATGGAATTTGGCACACATATGGTCTGATTGGAACATGTCCCAATCAGGCTGTATGATCTGCCCCATCCACATGCTATTATATGCACAGTGGACCATATGAACACCTTGTAACCAATACACACCCGTAGGATCACCCTGTGGATCATGGAACCAAAAATCATCACCTGCTCCAAGAATCATATATTAGTAGTCTAACTTAATTTAAATTAGAATTTTGAATGAATTTCAAATGACTATCGAGAATGCATAGAAGGGAACAGTTTAGAATCTTACTGACTCTTCCTATGGAGTTTTGCTTTGTGCCAAGGAAGAAGAAATCGTTGCATTGTTGCATGCTCGAGATAAGGTTAGTCCCTTTGAAGTTCTTCACAATAGAGTCGGTCAAACCCTTATAATATACCTTCGCAAGATCAACTCTTCCTCCATATTCCTCTGCGACGTATTCTAGAGTCTTCATTGAACAAACAAGTGGATAAATTGATTAAGTTGTAAAAGAAATAAATAAAAGAGAAAATGAAGTTTTCATTACGTAGAAACTTACATGTATAACGTCAACTTTCACTCCTGTAATCCCAGCTTTAGAAAGGTACGAATGCATGGAATCATATAGATCGTAGGCCTGATCAGGATGAACGAGGGCAATCTTGCCTTCAATGACCTTTACAACTGCTAGGTCTGTCATTGTCCCGTCAAGTCCAGGAGAGGATTTGAGGGGAGTTATCTTGGATTTGAGATGGGTAGAACCCGGCCTTACACCGCCCCAAGCACCAGCAAGAGCATGCCAAACGTATATGTCATCCAAACCTTTGAATTTTGTCCTCAAATCCCTTGTGAAAGCCTTCATTCCCATGTCATCGCCTTTGTAATTTCCATTACCGTTGTTTTCTTCTTCATCTTGATCATTCCCAAAAATATCCATCAACTCTTGCTTCAATTTCTGAACTTTAGCTTCAAACTTAGATATGTCAGTGACTCCAGATTGAATGGCATTATCTCTATCTTTCTCAGCATTATCAATCTCGATCGACTTTGAGATCAACAACTTTGGTTTCTTGGGATCAAATGGTGGAGCATTTGGACCCAACATAGTCCCACCTTTGTACTTCCCGAACTTGTCACACTCTTCAAATTTGTAAAGTCTAGCAGTCATCTGATTTGAACCCAAAACAATGTGTTTCATATCTCGATGTGGGTCTTCGCCATCNGCATTGATACTCTGCCACCCATCGTCAATGATGAGAAACCTCAACGAGACTCCACCTTCAGTAAAATCATTCACACCATGCCAAACTCCCACGGGATTGACATTCAAGAAAAATGCATTCCAAGTACACCAACCAAATCTATCCACCAAATCTGGCACACTCTTCTCTTCCAACAGCCTAAAAGTATTCAAATGGATTCTAATAGCAGCATAAGCTTCTTTCATTAGATTGTATGGGTTATCAGACACATGAATGTAAGCTATGGCATCAAATCTCGATGCTTTCACTTGAGTTGAGCCACTTTCAGCCCAAATCATGACATGCCCATCAGTCCCAGGATGAAGGGCAGATCTGAAACTCCCTTCTATAATAGGTACGATAACGACATATGACCTTATTTCAGGGACATTCAAAATGACCCATTGAGTTTCCATTTGAATATCCGATCCAGAACTCCCAACCCACATGGTCGACCACCATGTTTTGAATCTAAAGATACTTAACGACTCTCTACCCTCGAACTTTCCCAGAGAATTGATCAGCCTATCAGAAGGCTGACTTTGACTTTGGTCGAAACCAAGAAATCCACCCTTATGGGACAGAGCATGGACTCGTTGGAGCAGAGGAAGTGGCGCATCGGAGGATCGTACCGAAGAAAAAGGACTGAAAAAGACGTTGCTTGGGACTTCTGATAGCAAGGGAACTCCTTTTACATTGATGTTCCCATTTGAAAGATCAAAGTAGTTGGAAGACATGAAGCTAGGTAGTTAAGAAGGAGCCAGGTGGAACTTGAATCACTCAAAAACTGTTCAAACTTACAGACAACCTTAAACACAAGACAAGCAACCTAAGTTGTGATACGAGGATGATATCAGAGATGGTTCATAAGCTCAAACACAACCAACACTTGATAACTTGTATGGAGAAACTATGCAAACAATAAAATCATTTATAGTTGCTCAAGTATTTTTTTTTTCTTTTTCTTTTTCTAAATAAAATTTGACACCATATCTTAAAATTTTATATGGCATAAAACTTAGAATAAAAAAAGTAAGAGAATAAATCTTTATTTTGTCACTATGGAGACCAATATGAAAAAACAATGGAAGAAATGATTAAAAATTTAAGAATTTATTCCATAAAAAGATTAATGTTTTGTTGGCATTTTATGGAATAATATAGCCACACATTCAAATCTTTTTAAGCCATTATATCCATTGAATTTATTCTCGGGTACCCTATAACTTTATATCTTTATCACCGAGTTATGAATATGCTAACATTATCTCTTCCTCTAAACTCTTAAGAGTTACGATATGTCGATCTAAATATTTATAGGTACGATATCAACATAAATGATTGGAGTTCTTATGATTGAGATACTGAAAAAGAAGGTCCATCTTATTGGTATAGGCAGTGACTTTCATTCGAATATGATCTCGGTTCATTCATGTACCCTCTTTTACTCTAGTTGAATAATTATCCATTCTTTTAAAAATTTCTTATGATTGAGCCAACAACACGCTTAAGAGTAAAAACTACCCCCGTAAACCAACCCGACTCATTTTAGTATATTTTGATCTCACTCACATGTTTTTTCAGAAAATTTCCCAAAACGTGACGTAGCATAGGATTGCTCCAAGTCATCGCATTAAACCTTGGAATTTTATAATCGAGCCACTGAAAAAAAAATATTATTATTATATCATCTGTTCATTCATGTATCATTATTTTATTCGGACATCACATCATAATCACATCACTGATTATTAGTGGAGAATTTCTCTTTTTAATATATAATAAAAGGAAAAATAAAAATATATGAGGAAGGAATCCGAAGAGTGAATACGTGTTATGTTGTAGATAAATGGGAATCACTTTTATTTTAGTTCCCTTGGAATCACCTTTGTAATGATATTAAATATTTTATCCTATTTAGAATATACTTTTTATTACCATAGACTATCGCTTTATGTATTTTAACTTTTACCACATTTTTATTCTCATCTAATGTGCAGTAATCAGTAAAAATTTAAAATATCGATCTTGATTAAAATATCTAATGGGTAGTAATTAGAAAAAATATAAATTAAATTTTTATATAGGGGTGTATATTCAACCCGACAACCCAGACCAACCCAACCTAAACTATAAGGTTAGGTTGGGTTGGATTAGCATTTCGAGTAGGGTTTGGTCCATTTTTTTTGAACCCGAACTGAATCGAGATTCATGGGCAAAACCTTCGAGTTGACCCGGGCCAAATAAAAATATATAAAATATATTAAGACTCCCTCCGTACTAATGGGTATGCCAGAGTAGTAGGGACACTCACGCTCGAGTTTAATATTATTCTGTTTATATTATTTTTAATTTGTTTGTTTTGTTTATATTATTTTGTTATTTTTTTATTTTATTTTGTTATTTATTTTTTAATTTATTTTGTTTTGTTTATATTATTTTATTATTTTTAATTTGCAATTTGTTATTTTTTATTTTTTATTTTGTTTATATGATTTTGTTATTTTTAATTTGCAATTCACATTTCGTTGATGATCATAAATTATATTTATATATATATATATATATATATATATAAATTTGAAGCATATTCAAAATTCTAAATTGATTTATGGTTATTGATGAACTTTTAATATATTTTATCATCTGAATAATTATAAATTGTGGATAAATAAAACTTCAAAAAAAAAATTTGACAATCCAATCCGAACCCAATCTGAAAATAGCAGATTGGGTTGGGTTGAGTTACCAACCCAACCAATCCGAATTTTTTGGTTGGGTTAAAAAATTCCTTTAACCCGACTCAATTCGGACCATGTACACCCCTATTTCCATATGTATATTGGCATATTATTTCCATGTGATCAACCACATCATCCATCAATAAAGTCAAGAACCCACGTGGACATTGATTAAGCTAATGTCTATTATTAATTATCTCTTAAGTGCAAACATTATAATAAACCCTTTTTTTATTACATCCATAATTTCTCTTAACATTAAATAAAATAAAAGAATTATCTTTGGTCAATAATTTGATATAATTATAAAACTAATTAATGGCTTCACCAATAAAATGCGAGCGTGTGTGCTTGCTTAAACATTTTTTATTCTTTAAATAATAATAATTAAGAAATTAATTCTCTCACCAATTAAATTCAAACATGTGTTTAATTATATATAACCTTATAGATGATTTTTTTTAAAAACAAAAATAATGTTTTTATTCTCTAAATAATAATTAAATGAGGAACAGAGCATTTCTTATAAGGGGTGGAATTCTCTCCTAATATACGCATTTTAAAATCGTGAGGTTGATGACGATACATAACGGGTCAAAGCGGACAATATCTACTAACAGTGAATTTGGGCTGTTACAGTCAATATCGCTCTCATTTGAATGGAGTATCAGTTCATTCATGTATTCATCTTTTACTCGAGTATCACAACCGATATTCATACCAATCGACTCAAACGTACTTCAACTCTTTCTCTTCGTCTTTCTCAAGTAGCTTTAATAAAAACCCATCAAGCTAGCCTATTAAATGGCATGAAATTGGCCACCCTACACAACTTTCTTATAATTTTTCATAACATGCCCCCAACTCCAACTCATTTCTTAACCTTTTGGTTCATTGATGAGTAATGCATGTGACCCCCTTTTAGCAAGTTCCATTAATTTATACATAAACCCTTTAAATTTCCCTAATTTACATATAAACACATCCCAATACACACCCACCTTTAAACTATGCCTCAAGATTTACAAAATTCACTAATAAATATGTTTAGTACATAGAATTTGATTCATATTTTTAGGTTATGATCTTATAATATGTTTAGAGAGAGAGAGAGAGAATGGATTATCTTTGTGTTTGGTTGAAATTGTTCGATGAAAAATATGTATCCGTACAATGAATGAACCAGACATGTCCAAACATGTACACAAAATGAAAAAGTCTCTTCCTTTCCAAAAGAGAAAGAAGAGAGAGAAAAACCCTAATAATTTTGACTCAAAACATGGAGATTCATGAATGTCACAAACAAAATCCCAACACATATTATCCACATTGTTCCCACAAATATTTCCCAAAATACCCTTCTGTTTTCGTTCGTTAAAATGCAGTTGTCTCGTAATAATCATTATATACAAGTTTGAGATGTTTGATGGGTTTTTTTTCATACATTCATAAGTGCAAGCTTCTTAACGACAAAAAAGCAACTGTTAATTATGATATTATGTTTTGATACCATGTTAAACGAACGTGGGCGGTGTTGTTAGCTAACTAATATGTTATATAATGTGGGTATGAGTAAAGTTTAAAGATAGGGATGTAGTGATAATTTTAATTAATGAAATGAAGTGTGTGTGTGTGTCTCTCTCTCTAAATGATGTCCATTGAACTTGGAAAGTGGGGGGGAGGAATAATCCAGAGTGTGAGTAGTGGTTTATGTGGAGGGGGGGCTGAGGAAGAGGGTGGTGATGGTGGTGGCGATGGTGAGAAAATCATGTGGGTGCATGTGCTTTGAGTTGGACAACATGCCCTAAAGCAATCCCCCACCATTCTTACCCTTTCTCTTTTCTTTCTATCCGATAAATTTATTCAATCAAGCCGATACAACGTGTTTGTTTTATAATAAAGACGGTATATGTAACAGCTCAAGTCCATTCCTAGTAGATATTGTCTTCTTTGGACTTTCCCTCACGGTTTTTAAAACGCGTCTGCTAGGGAGAGGTTTCACATTCTTATAAAAAAAAATGTTTCGTTCTTCTTTCCAATCGACGTGGGATCTCATAATCTACCCCCTTCAAGGCCCAGCGTCCTTGTTGGCACACTGCTCGATGTCTAGTTTTGATACCATTTGTAACAGTCTAATCCCACCTCAAAAATTTTAAAACATGTCTGCTAGGAAGAGGTTTTCATACTCTCATAAAAAAAATGTTTTGTTCCCCTCTCACATCTCACAATCTACGTTTTTTGGGGTCTTGCGTCCTCGCTGACACACTGCCCGGTGTCTGTCTCTGATACCATTTGTAACAGTTGAAACCCACTGTTAGCAGATATTGTACTCTTTGAGCTTTCCCTTTCGAGTTTCCCCACAAAGTTTTTAAAACGTGTATGCTAGGGAGAGTCTTCCACACCCTTGTAAAAGGGTGTAAAAAATGTTTCATTTTTCTCTCTAATCGATGTGGGATCTCACAGTTCCACACTCTTATAAAGAATGTTTCATTTTTCTCTCTAATCAATGTGGGATCTCACACTATATCTCAATAGATAGTCGTTACGATGTAGTTATCTCTTTTGAACGATTCCTCTCACTCGGTATAAAATAATAATGATTAATATCATTATTCCAACCTTCTCTCAATCATTTCTCTTTTTGCAACTTATCCTCTCTTTTGTCACCAACCAAGTTCATAAATTTCCTCCATATAAAAACCCTAAGCCACCATTGCCATCAACATCCAAATCCCAATTTCTCTCCCTCTAGTTTCCTCACCACAAGAGAGAGAGAAGAAAACAACACCATATGGGAGCTTTCCCAAAAACCCTTTTGCTACTTCAACTCAACATGGAAGAACCAACACAAGATATCATCATCAATGGATCCATATTGAAGAAATCTTCCATGGAAGAAGAACAAAAAAACAACAGAAGTTGCAGAAGAAGAACAACAACAAGAAGAACAAGCAAATCATTGGCCAAGAAGACAAGAAGATCATCAACTAGAATAGTGCAAAGGGTCACCACTTTGAGAAACCTCGTACCCAACATGAACAACAACAATGACAATGACAACAACAGCGACAACGACGACTCATTAGAACAGCTTTTCACTCACACAGCTGACTACATATTGTCGTTGCAAACAAGAGTGAGATTCATGAGGACTTTGGTCGATGTCTTGTCC